GTCAGGTCTGCGCACAATAGGAGCTCGGCAGCCGAGAGACGGGCGACCGTTTTGGCCTAAGAGCTGGCGGTTGACGAGGCCGTGGGAACGGGGCACATCCGCCATGTTCTGCGAAAAGGCCATGGAGCTGGTCCGTGAGCTGCATCGCGCTCCGGAAGGGCAGCTGCCCGCCTTCAACGTGAGGGGCGCGGCAGGCCGGAGAGGGGCGGGCGTGGGCGGGGCCGAGGGAGCGTTGGGGGTGGGGCCTGGGGGGCGGCCTCTCCCGCAGGGTTTATTCTCGCCCTCCTCAGCCTGAGGTTGGGGACAAAAATTGTGGAACACTGCAAACAAAACGTGGGAGGAAAAAGGAGGCATTCGTGCTCGTGGGAGTACGTCCTGGTGTTTTTCCGTGCCGTTCCTTTGTTCAGCCACACATTTAGTAGTCGCCTGGTAATGAGCGTTTGTTACGCGCTCAGCGAAGCGTCGTGATTAAAAGCTAGGCCTCTGGAACCGGACTGGGGCTAGTGTGACTTTGGGGCAGTTACCCAAGCTTTCCGTGCTCTCAGTTTTCTCATATGCAAAAATGGGGGGTTGATGATCGTAGCCAAGTCGCGGTGTGGCGCGGGCCGAGTCCGTCGCTGTGTGTAAGGGGCTGTGAGCGACGCCTGACCTACGGTGAGGACTGAGCGGGCGTCTGCTGCTGATTTCTACTGCTGTTGCTGCTGCTGTGCCAATTACGCCTACTATTATGATTACTCTTATTTTTCTGTTACTACTACCCAGGCAGGGTGCTGAGCACTTAACCTACGTTATCTCTTGTCCTCATAACAACCCTTTTAGATTTAAACTGTTTTTCCATTTCTACCAGCTGTACACACACAGGCTTGGGGATATTTAAGCATCTTGCCTAAGGTGACATAAGCAGTAAGAAATAGAGCTAGGATTTGAACCGTGGCACGGGCTCTAGAGTCAGCACTCAAAATTCTACGCTTGCCCACTCCTCCGGTCATAGAGGAGCCACTGTGTGAATGCCAGGGCACGTCCTGCTGGGAGGGGGCACAAAAACGGGCAGTAGAATGCAAGATGATAAGTGACACCAAAGAGGTGTAGACAAGGAGCATAAAGGAGAAACATCAATGTAAGCTGGAATAGTGGAGAGTATGTTTTAGCCACACTGCCTCCAAGGTTGAGGTCACCACTCTGAGAAGAGGGTGAGGCACCCCAGCCAAAGGACACAGCAGTACAAACACACGTGGTCACATCGGAAAGGGTGACTGAGGGCAAGTGGGGAAACCATAAAGGTGAGCTCGCAGCCTAAAAGCGTTTGGTATTCCCTCAAAAAGCATTTTGGAAGTTGGTAGAGGATTTTAGACAGAGGAGTGATAGGGTAATTTCTGTGTTTTGAAGATAACTATGGCAGCAATGGGGGAATGGATCGAAGAGAAGAAAGAATGAGGGCAGGGAGATGGTAAGTGGGTGGTTGTAACAGACCAGGTGAGAGGTGTGTATGGGCCAAACTGTGTCAGGTCAGTTGCACTAAAGTCACTATCTGGGTTGTCTTGAGACAAACAGGACTTCTAACTATTAGAACAGGGGTGGAGATGGGGGCAGATAATAAATGAGAGGGAGGAATCAAGGGATCTAGGGAGGATTCTCAGGTAACTGAGTAAACACCCATCAGTTCAGGAGAAGTGTTCTGAAGGAGGAGTGTTTTGGGGAAGGTGATGAGTTTTGTTTTGAACATTAAAGAGCACCTAGCCTGACAATTAGATCATTTAACAAATGAGGAAAATGAGCCAAGAGAAGTTATGGATCAAGTCAAGGGACTTGTTTGAACTTACAGTATATTGAAGGTAGAGCCTCAATTTCAACACAGGTTTTCTAGATTCCGGTCGATTGTTCTTTCAACTTCAGAACAATTACCATTTAGGAAGTTAGGAGACAACAGTGTGAAGCTTAGTAGAGATGCTGGAATGCAGGGGTGTGTAGGCTAAATATGGCTCCATACTTGGGTGGGAGAACTAGAAACTTTAGGGGGTCATCATACATGTGAGGAAACAGGCCCAAAAAGGCAGAGAGAATTGTCTGCACAGGTGCTGGATGAGCTGGCCTTGGAACCCAGCTCTGCCTTGATCTGGCTCTCTTTTTCACTCAAATTTTAAGATAAGTGTTGGCTTACCACTTTTTGTGGCTAGGGACGGGTCTTAAAGTTGTAAAATCACTTTCTCTTTAGGTCTTAGTTTTGTGGAGCATCTATTGCACCTGTTGTCTCATTAGTGCCTTCCGCTGACGGTGGCTTGGCAGCCTGGGAGGCTGGCCTCTGACACAGCTGAGCAGGAGAGGACTGTTGATCTGAGAGGCCCAGCACCACACAGGCTTTCAAGAATCGTTTTTCCCAGGGAGATGATAGCTAGTGGGTTTAAAGCAGGGACTGTGCCTTGTTCATTCCAGAATCACACATGGTTAAGTGCCAGAATCACACATGGTTAAGTGCCGTGTTCGGCAAATTGAAAAATAGCCCCTTTCTGTATGCAGAGTTGGTAATTTTTTTTTCTTAAAAAGTACATTTTTAAGAACACTATCTTGGGCTCTCAGAGGCTTACAGCTGAGGTGAGGGCACAGAACAAATGTAATTCCCACTATATACAAAAATCTAAATCTGAAAGTTTGTGTATTTTTACAAAATTATTTTATACTTGCCTTTTATATACCTGCAGATCTATTAATTGTACGAGTGTCAACTATTCCTTAAAATAATATTTGCTGATAAAAGGATTATTTAAACTGAATTCTAATAAATCAGACCTTTCTCTGGTATGCTTTTTAACCAGATGATGAAAGTAAAGGTAGAAGTCATGTATTTTTCATCAGGAATTACATCTTTTGAGTAGTGTTAAGTAGTTGTATATTTTGGCTCTAAAAATAGATTGGGAAAAGTATATGGGATTGCTTCTCTTTGGATGGTTGACAGATTTATTGTGTAATGTTTATGAATTTCAGAATTCTAATGTTTTATCTTCCCATGGGAAAAATTTTTTAAAATTTGCCCCAAGGTGGATAATAGGGAAACTCCTTTGGCCTTTCTGTTCTTACATTACAAACCCAAAAAACTATTTGGGGGGGGAGGGGCGGTTAACCGTTTAAGACCATTTTTCAGTAAATAATAAATTACTTACATACTTTTGGTATGCCTTCCTCATTGCTTCTGTAGGACTATTGATTTTTTGTCATCAATTTTATTGAGGTATAATTTATATACAGTAAAGTATACATTTTAAAAGATTTTTGAATTTTGACAGATGTATACATCTTTATAACCAGCACCCTTCTGCAACTACAAGGGTTCCCTTGTCCTCCCCTTTGTAACTACCTCCTACTTGCTGCTTTAGGCAACTATTAAGACAGATGTATACATCTTTATAACCAGCACCCTTCTGCAACTCCAAGGGTTCCCTTGTCCTCCCCTTTGTAACTACCTCCTACTTGCTGCTTTAGGCAACTATTAATTTGTTTTCTCTGACTACAGATTATATTTGTCTTTTTTTTTTTTCCTTTTTGTCATTTTTTTGTGACCGGCAACGGATCGCAACCCTCAGTGTCGCGCCCGCACCGGACCGAGACCGGCAACGGGATCGCAACCCTCAGTGTCGCGCCCGCACCGGACCGAGACCGGCAACGGGATCGCAACCCTCGGTGTTGCACCCGCACCTGGCTCAGCCAGTGAGCGGCCGGTCTGTATGTGGGATCCGAACCCTTGGCGGGAGCGCCGCCACGCTTCCCAAGCAGCGCACTGTAGCAGTGCGCCACCAGGCCGGCCCTATATTTGTCTTTTTTACGTATTGTTAGATTCAGTGTTTCAGAGCTGGCAGACTTTTTCTGTAAAGGGCCAGATGGAATCATGTAGTATGCATTCTTTTTGGGTCTGGCTTCGTTTTCTCAGTGTAATGTATTCAAGATTATCCTAATTGTTATGTATCTTGTCAGTAATTCATTCCTTCTTATTGTGCTTTTTTTTCCTCTGTGGTGAAATATGCATAATATAAAGTTAGCCATTTTAACCATTTTTAAGTGTATACTTCAGTGGCATTCATTACTTTCACATTGTTGTGCAACTGTCACCCCTACCTCTTTCCAAAACTTTTTCATCACCCCAAACAGAAACTGTTACCTTTAAGCAATAACTCCCCATTCCTCCCTCCCCATAGCTCCTAGTAACCTAATCTACTTTCTTTTTTAAGATTTTATTTATTTATTTGTTTATTTGGCATCTGGCCATTACAGGGATCTGAATCTGTGACCTTGGTGTTATAAGGCTGCACTCTAACCAACTGAGCTAAGCAGCCAGCCCCTAATCTACTTTCTGTCTCTGAATTTGCTTATGCTGGATATTTCAGATAAGTAGATTCAGATTCATACAACAGTTGTCCTCTGTGTCTGGCATCTTTCATAATGGCATAATGTTTTCAAGGTTCATCCATGTTGTAGCATATATCAGTAGTTCATTCCTTTTTATGGCTGAATGGTATTCCTTTTGTGAATATACCACATTTGGTTTATCCATCCATCAGTTGACAGACATGTGGGTTGTATCTGCTTTTTGACTATTATGAATAATGCTGCTAAAAACATTCGTACACGTTTTTGTATGAACATATGTTTTCAGTTCTCCTGGGTGTGTACCTAGGGGTGGAATTGCTGGATCATATGGTAATTCTGTTTAATTTTTTAAGGAGCCATCAGATTGTTTTCTACACAGCTACATCATTTCACATTTCCACTATCAGTGCACAAGAGTTCCAATTTCTCCACATCCCCACCAACACTTGTTGTTATAGTTATCCTAGTAGGGATGAAAGGACTATTGCTTTTTGATAAGGTATATAAATCAGAGGTAAATTTAGTACAGACAGGATGTTGCCACAGAATTGCTGGGGAAATTAATGATTGTATATAAATATCAATTTATACTTTCTAGGAGGATGGACTCAGACAAGTTCTGGAAGAGATGAAAGCTTTATATGAACAAAACCAGTCTGACGTGTAAGTTTTGATAAGATTGAATATTTGTGGGTTACAAAGCAGATTCTCACCATTCATGCCCAAGATTTGATGGCCAGATCCATACTGGCAGCATGCGCATTACCACAAATTGCAATTATACCCCATGTCGCCCACCCAATTATCCCCAACCTTTCTCCCCATTCTGATATTTTTAAAACAATTTAAGAAATAAGATGTTGAAATCAGATAACCTTGCATCGATATTTGGATGTGATTTTTTTTTTTTTTTTTTAACTTTTCTGTGAGCCTGATCATACTGTAGCTGTACAAATTAGCACATGGCTAGAGGGATTTGTGCTGATCACTGCTATATCTGTGGAGCTAAACAGTGCTTGGCATATAGTAGATGCTTAATAAATATTTGTTGTTTGGCTGATATGAGTTAAAAGGAATTAAGGTAGACCTAAGAGAGATGAAATACCCTGAAATAAAAATAACCCTAACAAAGTGAGATATATAGTTTCCATTGTTTGTTTTCATTAATAGACGCCTTAGTGCGTTTGTTAAAGGGAGAATGGGCAATTTGTAAACTTAGCAGGAGCAGCAGTGATTTCTAATAGCTTGAGTGGAATTCACTGAGAACTTGTGCTATAAAAGGCTACAGCTTAGAAGGTGAAGAGAGGGCTCTAAATTTAATGAATATTTAGAGCTGATCATGATAGTCGGCATGATGTAGCATTTGGGCTGTTTGACAAATTTCATAGGTTCCTATGATTTGGTGAAGAGTAAGACACAAGAGGGTACCAAGTACTGGATCAGAATTGAAATGTTAAGGATCTCAACCTAGATAAAAGTCTTCCTCTGTGACATAAGGTTTCCTCTTTGGCTTTGTTAGGTACAATGTTTTTATTAGGTACTTGGATGTAGAAATCAATAGCATGGATAGCATTTTCCAACTACTGTATTTAAATATAGATACAGAAAAATCTTTATAGATGGAATGAGGAACTGAACCTCAACAGGTTTGCAGTAAATGTAAGGCAAATGCAAAGTTTTGAACTCAAGTCCCCAAGCCATTTCATTGTATATTAGTCTGTTTCTGTTGCTTATACCTGAAACTGGGAAATCTATAAAGAAACAGTATTTATTGCTTACAGTTTCAGAGGCTGGGAAGTCCAAAGTCTAGGGGACACATCTCATGAGGGTCTTTTTTGGTGGTGATGCAGGGTATCACATTGCGAGAAAGGCAGGAGCAGAGAAAGAGATAGTTCTTCATGCACTTTTCATTTAAAGCCCGCAGAACTACATTGATGACCAGCTTTATTAAATCATTCACTATGGCATGGTCCTTACAATCTAATCACCTCTTCAAGGCCCTACCTTTTAATTACTATAATAGAATTTCTCACCCTCTTAACAGTCACAGTCGGGATCAAGTTTCTAAGACATAAAACTGATTCATTCAACAAATATGTATGAAACAATTATGTGTTGATAAGTGGCTCTGGTATTACAAGCATGTAACTCAGTTGTTAGGTGTTTTTGAAAATTTTACTTACACTGAAATATACATATTTTTGTTTTTTTCCTCTTTAAATGTTCTTATCAGGAATGAAGCAAAGTCAGGTGGACGAAGTGATTTGATACCAACCATCAAATTTCGACACTGTTCTTTGTTAAGAAATCGACGCTGCACTGTAGCATACCTGTAAGCTGCTCAGTTTTTGCTTGGGTTGGCAGGGAACAATGGAGGGTTTTCCATGTGGTTTCCCAGTTAACCATTTCAAATGGGTAACAAGAAATCTTAGATTTATCTCTCTCATAAACATCCTAAATTTTTGTCTTTTTACCATTTTTAAAGGTTTTTATTATGAAAAATTGCAACAACATTCATAAACACAGGGAGAATAATATAATGAACCCCCATGGAGCCATCATATAGGTTTAACAATTTTGAATGTTTTTCCGTATTTACTTCATTGTGTTTTATTAGTTTATGCTGCACTATTTTATTGATTTAAATATTTACTTGTACATATTTGTGGGGTACAAGTGTGGTGTTCCTGTGGTGTTTCAATACATGCATGTACTGCACAATGATTCACTTAGGGTACATAGCATAGTCTTGTACCTGTTAATCTGCCACTTCTGCTCCCATCTATCCTCCTCTGCCCTGCTTGGCCTTTGGTAACCATTATTCTCCTCTCTACTTCTATGAGAATCTTTTTTTTTTTTTTTTTTTTTTTTGGTTCTACTTGAGTGATATGCGGTATTTGTCTTTCTGAGCTTGACTTACTTCACTTAACATGATGGTTTCCAGTTCAATTCATGTTGCTGCAAATGATAGGATATCATTTCTTTTATGGCTGAGTAGTATTCCATTGTGTATATATACCACAGTTTTTTTAATCCATTCATCTGAGGATGGGCATTTAGGTTTGATTCTATCTCAGTTATTGTGAATAGCATTTTGATGAACATGGGGGTGCAGGTGTCTTTTTGATATATTGATTTCATTTCTTTTAGGTATATATTCAGTAGTGGGATAACTGGGTTGTAAGGTAGATCTATTTTAGTTCTCTGAGGAACCTGAATACGTGGGGGTGCAGGTGTCTTTTTGATATATTGATTTCATTTCCTTTAGGTATATATTCAGTAGTGGGATAACTGGGTTGTAAGGTAGATCTATTTTAGTTCTCTGAGGAACCTGAATACTGTTTTCCACAGTCGCTGTACCAATTTACACTCCCACCACCAATGTAGGAGAGTTTCTTTTTTTCTACATCCTCACCAGTATTTGTTATTTTCTGTCTTGTTGATAATAGTCAGTCTGACTGGAGTGAAATGATATCTCATTGTGGTTTTAATTTGCATTTCCCTGATGATTACTGATTTTGAATTTTTTTCATGTGTTGTTGGCCATTTGTATGTCTTCTTTTGAGTAATGTCTGTTAAGTTCCTTTATGCAGCATTATTTTAGAGCATCATGGCTTTTCACCACTGTATACTTTAGTATTTTTAGTATTTTTCTCATTTCTCTAAGAAATAAAGACCTTTTGGAGCTTTTCTCACATGACCGTTGTACCATTGTCACACCTGGAGAAGTGAACAGTGCCGTCATGGCATTTGTCCAGTCCATAGTCATGTTTCCTCTGTTGTCCAAAGATATCATCCTGCAGTTGGTTTGCATCAGGAGCCAGATAAAGTCTACATATTATGTGTAGGTTGCTGTGACTTTTGAGTCTCTCCTCATCAGAACCACTTCTAATTCCCCGTTTATTCTTATTCCATCTAATACCTTTTTAATGTCCTAGGTATGACCGGTTGCTTCGGATTAGAGCACTCAGGTGGGAATACGGCAGTGTCTTGCCAAATGCTTTACGATTTCACATGTCTGCGGAAGAAGTAAGTTAGCATTGCTGTTCATGTTTATAATTGGAAAACACTAAGGTTCTGACATTTTTCTATAATAGTACTTGTTGGTATTTCTCTTTTCGTTTTTAACATCTGTTTTTCAGCAATTTTTGGCACATACTTATTTAGTATATACTGTGACAGGAAGTATGTAGTGAGGAGTAATTCTAAATGCTATGTGGAAAACTCTATTAACAAAATACAGTCCAGGGCCGGCCCGGTGGCGCACTGGAGAGTGCGCCGCTTGGGAGCGCAGCGGCACTCCCGCCAAGGGTTTGGATCCCATGTGGAGACCGGTTCCCGCTCACTGGCTGAGCGAGGTGTGGGAGCAACACCGAGGGTTGCGATCCCGTTGCTGGTCCTGGTCCGGTACGGGCGCGACACTGAGGGTTGCGATCCGTTGCCGGACACGAAAAAAAGACAAAAAGGAAAAAAACAAACAAACAAAAAAAACTGGCGTTATTGGGCCGGCCCGGTGGCGCACTGGGGAGTGCGCCGCTTGGGAGCGCAGCGGCACTCCCGCCAAGG